ACAAAACCTACACAGCAGCTGGATCCGACATCAAGAAAACAAAATTGTTTAGAAAACGTAATTCACAACCCTATTCTCTCACTTGATAATGACGCACTTGTGCTTGATCTCATTCCACCAATGGAGCTTCATCTACTGCTTGGGGTTGTTAACCATCTGTTCAAGATTTTAACAGACCTTTGGCCTGAATCAGCTGAATGGCTACAAGCTTTGCACATTCAGCCCCAACCTTTTCATGGTGGTCAATTTGCTGGGAATGATTGCCACAAGCTCCTCAAAAATTTCAACCTTCTCCAAACACTGGCTGAAAATGACAGTGCCTTTCAAGTTTTCAGCATCATTCAGAGCTTTCAAAAGTTTAGTCCCATTGTTTCTGCAAGTTGGATTGCACTTATGCAGAAAAAATTGATTCATTCAGAGATTCATATTTGGCATTGCCAAGAGGAAGCATCACTCAAAAAGTACATGCAGTGTTTTTCCATGTTAAGGACTTCATCCAAAATACAAGGTCTCCTCTTGGAATCTACAGTGAGCAAGCAACAGAATCTATTCATCATTGTTTTCAGAACCATTGGCAACGATACAAACGACCTATCAGCCATCCAGATTATGGAAAAAGGCTAGAAATGTGCCTAGCTGATTTTAACAGCAAAAGTCTGTGAAAAGTTAGGAATTTGTAAATAATTTTTTTTGTCAAGAATGTTGTTGCTTTAAATGTGGAATTTATTTTAATATATCTTTTGTATTTACCTACATGATCTTTTACCTATTTGGATTACTACCAAACTATTAATGAAATTATTCTAAAGTTAACTTATTAGAAAAAACTTTCAGAAAAGCAATATTTTACCCAAGTGATCTTTAACCTATTTGGATTACTACCAATTTTATAACATAAAATCTTTCACATTTTCATATTTTTTGTTTCTTTATTATGTTAAGTAGATTTTATTATTTTCAAAGAGCTTTTTGAATGTTAAGATATGCTGTAAAAATGTAAAATTTGGAGAATGCTGTCATTTCATGAATATGTGCAAAATAAAAATTTTCAAAAGCAATTTTCTTTCTCGGACATAATAGGATGTTTTGATTTTTTATATTTTTGGAATCCAGGAGCTATCACAGGCATATTGTGGTTTCTTTGGAATTTGAGTTGACACTAATTGCTCATTTAGGAGAACGGTGATATATATATATATATATATATATATATATATATATATATATATATATATATATATATATATATATATATATATATATATATATATATATATATATAGGCTTTGAATGGCTAATGAACTTTAACTCAGATAAGACTTAATAGTTTTTAGCTAATCGTTATCACAATAATCAAGATCTTTCTATTTTTATGAACGGTAACATACTTGATGAATCATCTACACTTTGAATTAACTCTTACCTCTGATCATTCTCAGAAACCATATATCAAATCCATTTCAAAATAAAATAACATGCATCTCCTTATCAGGCTTGTCACATTCTTACTATTGATTCTGTCATACTTTTATGAAATAGTTGCCATATCTGGAGTGGATCTTCCAATGATGCTCTTTCTCTTTTTGATAAAGTGCATAATCGTAAACATAGTTGGACCTGTTCTTGCAGCCAATCTCCAAACATTGTCACATGTTAATGTTGCTTCTCTTTCTCTTTTCTACAAATACTATGATGGCCCTAGTGTCTCTTGTGTCATCTACTAAAATTCATTATCATGAATTTATGCGTCAATGAAGTCTCATCCCTTTACTGTGACTGTTCTTAAGTTTATTAAGTTACCCCAAACTTAATAAAGAGAAAGAGATTGATCGCAAATTGAACTTTATTGATATTATTATTAACTCTGTAAATTATAAATTTAATACTTCAAAATTTTTCAAAAAAAAATACACAGTTTTACAAACTAATTTCAAAAGCTTCACTAATATTAATTATGAACAAGGATTCATTAAAACTCTGATCAATAGGGCCTTCAAAAAACAGCAAGTTTTCATCTAGAAATTGTAAAAATTAAATAAACTCTCCAAAAAAACTCTTTTGCCTTCAACTTAATTGACAAAACCTTCAAAAATTGACTAAACAATCTTATCTCTCCTAAAAAAAACATGTCATCTCCAAAACCACCTGATATACATTACTTTAAACTCCCTTATATTGGAAAATTTTCAAATACATTTTAACATCAATTAATTAAATACATTTAAAATATTGTAAAGATAATATAAAAGCAAGACAAGTTTTTACAACTTTTAAAATAAGTAGTATGATTTCATCAAAGACCCCTAACCCCCAAATTTAAAAACCTTTGTTGTCTATAAATTTGTTTGCTCCAGCTGTAATGCTGGATATATTGGTGAAAACACCAGACACTACACAACAACGGTTTCAGAACATTTAAATTTAGATCAGGCATCCTATATTTACAAACATCTTACTTCAACGCAAAAAAGAAAAAACTCAACTGACTCTTTTTCTATTATTGTCAGAGTTTCTTCATGGTAATTACTTATCTTATAAAAAGTAATTATGGTAACAATTGTAAAAATATTAAATTTTTAATGCAGCCAAATAAATTGTTTATATATAGAAATTGTTATTTTTTTTCCTGATGATATCAATTAATGTTGATAAAAGATGTTGTTAAAAATTTTTTTTTTTAAATTGTTATTCATTTAAAAATTATATAAATATATATATATATATATATATATATATATATATATATATATATATATATATGTATATATATATATATATATATATATATATATATATATATATATATATATATATATATATATATATATATATATATATATATATATATATATATACACTGTGTCAAAAAAGTTTTCATCCACCTATCCTGTACATCTTTCAGATGTGATAACTTTACATTCAGCAAAGATATAAGCATAATTTCAACTTAATTATATCAGTTAACCATTCAAGAAGTATTGTATAAAAAGATTTTACAAAATAATGAATAGAAATTAAAATACAACATTCAAACATAAACAATGCCTGTTTTTGCGCCAAAAAAGTTTTCATCCACCCTGCACTCCAACCTCAATTTGTTATTAAATCAGTATTAAAGTATCATTTTTAAAATATAAATTAGATTTAGTAAGATTTTTGTATTTTTTTTTTTTTTTATATGAGTTTTTTATATTTTTTATTTTTGTTAGATTATTAATAAAAATGAGAGTTGCAGAGGAAATTAGATTGCTTATTGTTAGACTATGGAAAGAGGGAAAATCACAGCGAAATATAGGAAAAATAGTAAAGAAATCATGTGCAACTGTGCAGTCTATTATTAAGAAATACCAAACCACCAAAAAAATTGCTGATAAGCCACGTACAGGGCGTCCAAATAAAATTCAAGTATTGCATCGACAAGCTATATTAAGAACAGTCATCCAGAATCCTAAAATAAGTGCTCCAAAACTCGCTGGAATGCTGCAAAATGATTACAATTTAAAAGTGGACCCTGAAACTGTTAGAATAACCTTAAGAAGAGCTGGATACAATGGTAGAGTACCATTGAAAAAGCCCTATATCAGCAAAGTCAACAAAGCCAAACGACTACACTTTGCAAAACTTTATATCAATGAACCACAAACATTCTGGGAATCGGTCCTTTTCAGCGATGAATCAAAATTTAATGTGTTTTCATCAGATGGAAGAGTTAAAGTTTGGAGAAAACCAAATGAAGCATTTAAAAAACAAAACTTGTGTCCAACGGTGAAGCATGGCGGAGGAAGTGTTTTAGTGTGGGGGTGTATGAGTGCTTCAGGTGTAGGAAACTTGGTTTTCATTGATAGAAATATGGATCAAAATGTGTATTTAAACATTCTAAAAAATAATCTGGAAGAAAGTGCCCACAACTTGGGACTTACTAGGTCATTTACTTTTCAGCAAGATAACGATCCAAAACATACTGCCAAACGTGTCAAGGAATGGCTTATATTTAAAATAGCTAAGCAACTTCATACACCCCCACAATCTCCAGATTTGAATCCTATTGAACATCTGTGGGATGAATTGGGTAGAAGAATTAGGACCCACGATGTGAGGAATCAACAACAACTCCAATTAGTAATTATGAAAGAGTGGGGCTTAATCACTCCAGAAATTACTAAAAAATTAGTTTGTTCAATGAAAAACAGACTACACGAAATAATAAAAGCTCGTGGTGGAAACACAAGTTATTAAAACACTAATAAATTGAGTTCGTATGACAATTTTATTTGATTTTTGTAAAGTGGATGAAAACTTTTTTGAGACAAAGATGTCTATCTTTTATTCCAAAATGCTGTATTTTATTTGTAACTCATTACTTTAAAAAACTTTTTTTGTACAATATTTCTTAAATGTTTAAATGATATAATTTAGTTTATATCATGCTTGCATCTTTGCTGAATAAAAAGTTATTGCATTTTTAAAATGTGCAAGATAAGTGGATGAAAACTTTTTTGACACAGTGTATATATATATATATAAAACTATTGTTATTATATTGTTAAGAATTATGTATATGAAAGAAACACTAACCTTTAAGAACTATTACATCCATGAATTAATACAATAACCCACTGTAAAATCAATAAAGTTAACAAAATAAAGACCACGTAATAAAGCAATTTTAAGTATCAAACAATAATATATGGCACGTGTGTTGTGTTGTTATTAAAATTGCTCCGCAAATTTTTTAAAATGTTGTTCGGCAAAATACGCAAGTAAAAATTAGTCGTTCCGAATGGGATATGATCTAAACACAACCGTATGAAATTGACAAAGTTTTTGTTTACTATTAGATTTGAATAGCAGACTTCTATCGTTTATTAATAATGTTATCCCATAATATTTTAACTTTTTTTTTTAAACAAAAAAGATTTACTGCATTTGTTTTAATAGTTGAAAATTTTCAAATTATTTTTAAACTTTTAGTTTAAGTATATTTATTAACATTTTTTTCCAATTTAAATTTAAATATAATTATTTTAGTAAAAATACAATTCAGTTATGAATTCTGATTTATCAGCATCTGCTTTAGAGTTTGTGCCACAAACGTATCGAGTGCCTTTATTGTCTGCAAGTGCCCCTGAATTTATACCAGAAAAAAATAAATTTTTATCTCAAAATAATGACAGTATTAGAACAAACCATAATTTTAAATGCTCCGAATCAACCAGTAGTTATAACACTCACAATAAATATACTTCTTTCCAAAATGGATCGAATAAAAAGAATAAAACTTTAAATGATTTTATCAATACCAAAGACTTAGCAAATGCACAAGAACAAACGAATACAGAAGGTTTTATGCAAGCAAAACCTACACTAAGTGCTAACCAATACACCAATATTCAAGACAAAAAAAAAGAAAACAAAAATTTAAACAAAAATGAAATAATAAAGTCTAGCAAAAACCTTAATTCTGTCTCAGTTAATACAAAAGACCAACCATTAGCTAAAGATTTACAAATAAAAACAAAAAAAGAAACAAAAGTAGTAAGCATTATTTTTTTTAATGTATTTTTCTATTATTTTTATTGTTGTTATATTAATTGTTATTATTTTATATGTAGATATATCATTTTTAATCTCCACCACGATGAGTATTTATAGTGATACATGCATCATTGACAGCATTGATTTTTAACTATATACTTAACTTCTACTGGTTGATATTTTGATTTATTTGAAGTACATTCCATTAAGCTACCACCCTAATTTTGAATGTGCAACAATTATTTTTATCTCTTTACTAATTGATATTTAAAAACTTTGTTATGCTCTTTGTAGATTAAATAATGTTTTTTCAAGAATATTAATGTCCAATTTTAGACAAGGTGATCTGAAATGGGGCCTCATATATATTATAAACATCAAATATGGCCACAACTTAGACCATGAAAAGTCTCTTTAAGTTTGCCTAATGTGTGAATTGCTTTTGATTCTGCGATTTTAACTTATTGAATAACTTTTAAGTTATCTTAAAAGGTAATGGCAAGATCCTGTTTATAGTAATGTAATAATAGTACTAGTGTAATGGTTGTATATAATCTGGAATTTTTTTTATTACATTATTTAGCATCAAAAAATACTTTATGTTTTGTTTATCATATTTTTCTTCAAATCATTCAAATCAATTTGTGCCCCAAGTTCACAAGCATCTTTTATTTAACCTTTTTTTGGATTGCTATATTTCTCAAAATTTTCATCTTTCATTCACCTCACAAAGAAATAAATTCCCTCAATTTTTTTTTGTGAAATGAAATTTAAATTTTTAATTTAAATTCTAAATTATATTTATTAATTTTACTTTAATTTTTCATGATTTTTAAATATCTATCTGTTTGTTTAAATATCTAACTACTTTTTAGATTTGTTGTACAACTGTTTCTACAATTAAAAATGGTAACTATTTATTAGTGCATAGTTAGTCTGCATAAAATTGATATATTCTGTGAAATAATATTTTTGAAATATGTACTTAAACTTAGTATTTGAGTTAAAGTCTTCTTTTTTCCTAATTTAAGTAATAATAGTTTTTTTTCATTTTGCTGTACATCTTGTTTATTCGCTGTTACTGTTGTTACTATTACTGTTATATGTTGTTACTTTAAAGTCAAAGCTTTTAAAATTGTTTTTTTACGATGTTATGTTATTCTCCTTGTAAACTTAAAATTATAGTAAGTTAAAGTTTAAAATTGATACTAAACATTTTTATATATGATATAATTAATTTTGTTACAAGTTAATTTTGTCTTTTCTTTCTATAATTTTGATAAAAGTACATGTTTCATTTTTTGTTTTTCTGTTAAATAAATTCTCTTAATTCAAAAATCAATTAAATTGATCAACTTTTTTTTCCGCGCAGTGATCTTTTTTGTCAAGTTTTAAAACAAGATTTTATGTTTTCGTCAAGTTTTAAAACATTTTTTTATGTTTAAAAACAAGAAGACAGGGCAGATTTTGCCCTGTCTTCTTGTTTTTAAACATAAAAAAAAATTTTTTATGTTTAAAAACAAGAAGACAGGGCAAAATCTGCCTTGACCATCTTTAAAAATCAATTTTCTCATTGAGACGCCAAATAACTTAAGTCATCAACTTTTAAGTAGTAATCAAGTAATCATCCTAAAGGACCTAGATTTGACAATGAGCAAGAGACTATGCCATCAAAAATATATTTTGGTAAATTCAATTGGTCTATTCTGCAAACTTTCCATTTTCTTTTCTTCGTTTAAAAGATTGCTTGTAATTAGCATAATATTTATCTATTCAGTTTTTTCATTCATTTAATAAAGTCATTCATTCATTCAGCCAATAATGTGTTTACATTATATTTGTAAATCACATATTTTGATAACCATTTTCTGCTTGTAGGTCATTTATGTTTTATTTATATTAATAATTTTTCGTATTTTTTTCTTTTATGTGCCCAGTTTTGTTAATTAGCTGATTTTATTTTTTTCCTTTTCTGTCTAAAAAACTGTAAGGATTAAATTTGCCATTTTATTAAGTGTCAACATATATTTACAGTGTTCACAGCAGAAAATGGAAATTTTATTAACCTTTTTTTACTTAACTTTTAACAAACATGCATAGATATAGATACATAAAGGGTTATTTTTCATTGCATTTCTACAAGTTTACTTTTTTAAATTATATCCATAGAACAGTTTCGATAAATTAACTAAATGATTATGATTAGGTCATTTACAAATATTTAAAACTAATTTTATGTAAATTCCACAAATGGTGTTATTTATAAAAATAGTTATATATAATATATAATATAATGTGTAAATATAATATATAATTATATAATAATAATATAATGTAATATTAAGATAACAGCAACAATAGTAACAAAAGTAGGGTAACTATATAATAATGATAAACACCAGAGCCATTTTTAACCACCTATGGCCTCTGGGTTTCAATTTTTCAAGATGTAATTGAGAACATGAAAGTTGAAAATAAAAAATCATAAGATATAATTGTGAACATGATAATTGTCATTAAGTATATTATACTCACAACAAAGTTCTATGTTTTTTTAATTTTGTAGCCCAAATTTACTTTGGAATTTAAGGCTTCTAACCAAGCTGACCAAATGTGTTTGTTTTCAATAAATACTATACAATTAATAAAGTAAAAAAAAAAATAATATAAAAGAGGGAGTAGCTGAAAAAATTCCATTAGTTGTCAATTGGAACTGTCAATTTTTTGTTATATTTATTATTCAGATGAATAATAAATAAAACAGTCACTTTCAATTTATGTTAAAATTTTTTCCATTTGGTCTTTGGTAAATTTTTTGGGCTTGAGCGCATCTTTTCCGATGAAATTTGAATTTCAACAATGAACCCAATAGTATGCTGTTTTTTATTTGACACATAAAGTTTATGCCAGTCACCCAAATGTCATTTTGCTCAGCACATTTAACAACTCTTCTGTCATTTGATGAAAATAAATCATTTTCTTTCAACTTGTTTGGTTGTATGTATTTATTGGTGACAAATTGGATAAGTCGAATCTGGTTGCTGGCAGTAGACCTATTTTTATGAATATTCTCTCATAAAAATTCATGTGAAACATTATTTTTATTAACTAAGAAAATTTTATCTGTATTTTACTTTCTTTATATAGTAAACTGTTACAATATTGAAAATAGAAAATCGGTGAAATTTAAGAAGAAAAAAATTTAAAAGGGAGATGGCAGATTGCAGCAGTATTTTCTTTACAAAAGTTTATTAGTTCCATTTGAGTAATTGCAAGACTTAATAAGCAATTTGTCCTACATATTTGATTAATGAGCATTCTTGATAGGGTTTGAAGTAGAAAGAGTCTTTAATACTTATCATGGCTAATAAATTAGCTCACAAGCAACAAGAAAATTTCCTTGTACCAACTGCACCACCAAAATCAAGACCTACAGCTTCAACAACTTCCAACAAAGAAATGTAAAAGCGGATGAACTTGAAACATATACAACTTAAAAGATATACCAAAGTTAATAGTTGTATATAAATGCCATGAAAAACTAGTTTTCAATCAACTGAATATTCCTGTGGCCAACCGAGGTAATATTAGTTCTGTGGTCAACTGAGATAATATTAGTTCTGTGGTCAACCGAGATAATATTAGTTTTTTTAAAGTTATTATCTTATAAAATTGTTTTGAAAAATTATTTTATTGGTTTTTTGAATCTGCATTTTTATTGGGTTTTATGCTAAATCTTTGTTTTAATTTAAAATATGAAACGTATCATTGTGTATGCTTATGTTATGTAACTAGTTGGTCAAAAAACCATGAAACTATTTTAAACAAATGATTGAATTTGGTTGAAACTCTAAGATATTTGTTTAATGTTAAATTATCAAAAAAAAAAACAAGCTCTTATACAAAGTTTATCCTCTATGAAAATCTCAAGCATTAATGATACATTGTATTCTGCAGACACTATTGTTTGTGCTTTTAAATATTTTGCTGTTTCAAGAGCACTTTAGCAGCAGGCTATAAGATAGTCAATGTAGCAACACTCTGCGCATGTTTTAAAACATGCGCAGAGTGTTGCTACAATACTTCTGCATTATTTTAATTGTTTTAACTTCTAGACAACATTAAAATGCAGCTTAATTGTTGAAGTCACTTAAATGCTGTTGAAAGAGACTTTTATGTATATATATATATATATGTAAAATTTATATATATATATATAGAATGTATATATATATATATATATATATATATATATATATATATATATATATATATATATATATATATATATATATATATATATATATATATATATATATATATATATATATATATATATATATATATATATTCATCTATATCTATTTATAAACATAACGGGATTTTCAATCCAATATGAAATATTTCATTTATAGGTTTTGTCAAGAATAAGGCAGCCCCAGTCATAACCCCTGTCCTGGTCTGGCCCCGGTCAAATATCAGCTCCAGTCGCTTATTAATTACTATTAATTACACTATTAATTACAGCTTTTTTTAGCTAAACTATTAATTACAGCTACACTATTAATTACAGCTTCTTTTTTTCTAAAGCTTGTTAAACAATAAGATTTTTCTTTATGTTTAGAAGTTTTTTGCGAAGAAACTCTTTCTGCATTATCAACACATCCTATTAAGACCAAATCAATGTTAAACTAACTGTTTTATTTTTTAAAAAAGTTTAATTTAAAATTTAATAAAAAAACTAAAATTGAAGGCTCAAAACTACTTTTGTAATATGATTTTTATGAACATTATGTTGGTCATGTTTCATAAGGCAATTGATGCAAAAGGAAATTAAAATATTTGATTCTTGCAAAATTGATGCAAAAGGAAAATGAGATCTTTCAACATATTAAAATCTAGTTTAACAGATGCTGTTAAAATAAGTTTAGTATACATTGCTGGTTACCTTCACATAAAGAATGGTTACAAAGATCTTGACACAAAAAAATAAAATTATCTCACATCTTTTAATTTTTTTTATTTTAGGACCCTATTTATTATTTTTTTGTTAATTCACCTCCTCAAGGCCGAGAAGGCCACTACAGATAAGGGGGCTACTTATTTGTGGTTATAACCCTCTCTTAACTCTATATTTCCGAAACACGAACCTTTGCAAACAAGACCACTGCGCAGAGAAATGAGTTGAGCGCTGTACTACAAGGGACGTGGTTGGGATTAAACTCGGAACCTCTTGCTTATGAAGCGAGCGCTCTACCACTACACCACTATCGCATTTGAATGTGAAAAGGGTAAAATCAGCCAAAAAAACAAACAAACAATAAATTAACTGTTTGATTTCAAAATTTGTCTGGTGGTTCATAACAAGCTAATCTATGTCTGGAATAAAAATCAGAAAACTATGTTCAATACAAGTTTCATAACATCAAGATATTCAGTATATTGCAAGCCCTTTTAGCTGTTTTGACGTACAAAATATATCAACTAGAGTATTAGATTCTATAGTATTGAATAATTTATGACACAATTTTGGTTTTCAAGAAAGACATGGTACTTATTGAAATGCTTGCTTTTAATACAATAATCTATGCATTTACCAAAGTCAACTGAAATTATGGATACAAATCTATTTAACAATGAAAAACTTCTATTCTGTCATGGTGCATTACCTTATACAGCTACGTCTGATATTTCAGTCATCTGCTTCAGTTCAATTGCTGTTTTTTTTTATCTTAGCATCAGCGGTGGATGCAAAGTTTCATCCTGTATGCGATGAAAAGAATATAAAAGATATTAATTTCATCCTGTGTAATAAATAGCTGCTGGATGCATTATATAATTTTTTCATGAATCCAAAATCCCTATTAATTGCAGACAAGCAATTTCTTATTTCACAAAAAGTAATTACA